AATTTTTGCTCAAGTGTCTATACATCTGTCTACTCTAAGGCTGTTGTTGCTATGTCTTATTTGTCTTTATTTCAGTTGATTATAGTTTTACTGGAATTAATCATATCCTATTTGTTTTATCCTCACTCTCCGTCTTTCTCTCTCCGTCTTCTAGGAAACCAGAGAAGGGGATCCAGTATTTGATAGAGAGGGGTTTTGTCTCAGACACACCTGTGGGCATTGCACGTTTCATCCTGGAGAGGAAAGGCCTGAGTAGACAGATGATCGGGGAGTTTCTGGGAAACCGTCAGAAACAGTTCAACAAGGATGTGTTGGAGTTAGTAGTGATGTTTTTCCTGTCTTCCAACCCCAGACTGTAGCAAAGCATCCATATGCTGTTCACACCAGCCTGGGGGCAAAAAACTGAAATCAGACACAGGCTAAAAAATCAACAAAAACATGTTGGCAGAAGAATTTAGCGATCTTTCTTTTTGTTTTTCTTTCTCAGCTGTGTGTTGGATGAGATGGATTTCTCGGGCATGGATCTGGATGACGCCCTGAGGAAGTTTCAGGCTCAGATTAAGGTTCAGGGGGAAGCCCAGAAGGTGGAGAGACTGGTAGAGGCCTTCAGGTAGCCTTTGCTTTCATCTCACCCTTTGCTCTTTTCTCTGCATTTCATAGTTCAGGGCTCCAGACTCGTTCTTCCCACTGTTCGCTCTTTTGCAACTAACTTTCTCAGCTGGTCGCACGAGCACATGATTTATTTAAATTTTTTTGCTCTACAACATGGGATTATTCAATGCATGCTAATGAACGTTTATCATAGTTTATAGTTATATGGAAACCAAAGTGGTTAACATTCAACCCGTTCTTCTTCATCAGTAGGGCTTCAGATGCTTTCACTTTTGAATTCGCAATCTTGTTGTCACTGTTTTGCTTACATACATCTACACACCTTTCATTTTTTTAAGACTAAAACAAAAGATGGATTCATTGTTATTCTTAATTAAAAAGCACAACAACATTAAATCAGTAAGATACAAAGACAAACTAGCTTACAAAATGTTTATTAACAAAAACGAATAAGATGAGGCATGGCACACACCACATGCTGTATTATATACCAACTAATAAATTACAGAACGTTTAGCAAACACTGAGGAATCAAATAAATAAATAAATAAATAGGAGAGAGCCTCCATAGCGCAATGTGAGGTAAACAGCAAAGATAACAAGTTTTTCAAAAATGAAACAAAAAGAAAAGTAAAACTAACGGTGACAGTGCTTGTGTGTTTTTTTCCCCCACAAGAATACCAGCATGTTCACCTTCTCTGGTTTAAGAAGCGGTCTTTTAGTTGACTTTCACTTGAAACCCATCCATCGGTTCCTCAATATGCGCATCATTTTTGCTGTGCGCACCTTCGCGCTCATGCTGACGCGGCGAGTATACTCTCTAAGCGCTGCTTCGTTATGCTTTCAGTTTCGTTTGCCGTTTGATGTTTCTCTTATGCAACAGAAATTGCAGCGCTTATGAGTTGACCAACGCGGTGGTCGCGCCACTGCGACCGCACACAAAGTTTAGTCGCACAGGCAGAAAAAGTTCCACTGGAGTATGAACTTCTTTCTTTCTCACAGTCAGAGATACTGCGTGTGCAACCCTGCACTTGTCCGCCAATTTCAGAACCCAGACACTATCTTCATCCTGGCATTTGCCATCATCCTTCTCAACACAGACATGTACAGCCCCAATGTCAAAGCTGAGAGGAAGATGAAACTGGAGGATTTTATCAAGAACCTTAGAGGTGATCCAATTCAATATACCTTCAGCTAAATCAGATTGATTTTTGGTTTCCAACTGAAGACAGTACAGCATTTTTCACCATCTGTATCATGCTCGTTCTCCCCCTCATTTTTATTGGCAGGAGTGGATAATGGACAGGATATTCCCAGGGATATGTTAGTGGGCATCTACCAGCGCATTCAGAAATGGGAACTCAGGACAAACGATGACCATGTGTCTCAAGTGCAGGCTGTGGAGAGGGTCATCGTGGGCAAGAAACCTGTGAGTCAAACCATGTGTTTCACTCATGCATGTTATACTTGTGGTTGAAACTCCATATTGTTGTTCAGCTTGTAGTAAAAAGGTAATTTGATCTCTAGTTTGTTTATTTGTGTGGTTTAGTGTGAAACAAACCAAGCTGTATTTTAATATGTTGTGTGTGTGCAGGTGCTTTCTTTGCCACATCGCAGGCTAGTGTGCTGTTGTCAGCTGTATGAAGTCCCGGACCCCAATCGACCCCAGCGGAGTGGAGTTCACCAGCGTGAGGTCTTCCTCTTTAATGACCTGCTAGTGGTGAGTCTTCACTTACCGCATATTTGCCTAATTACTGTCAGAAGATATAGTAGAAGAAAAATACTCACTTGGGTTTAGAGTCATGTGCACTTACAATAATTATATAATAGTACAATATTTGCATTGATTAATGTATACAAGATGTATAGGCCTACTGTTTTCATTAAAAAATTCAAGAACATTTAGCCTATATTATATAACTGTATTCTGAG